CTTTGAGACAGGATCTAGCTCCATCACCCAGGCTGAAGTGTAGTGGCATGATCTCGGCTCACTACAGCCTCCACCTCCTGGGCTCAAGCAATCCTCCCACCTTAGCCTCCCCAGTATCTGGGACTACAGGTGTAGCCACCATGCCCAGTTAATTTTTGTAATTTTGGTAGAAACGAGGTTTTGCCATGTTGCCTAGGCTGGTCTTGAACCCCTGGGCTCAAGCAATCCTCCTGCCTTGGCCTTTCAAGTACCTGGGACTACAGGTATGTGCCACCATGCTTAGCTAATTTTTAAATTTTTTTTGTCAGGGTGTCACTTTGTTGGCCAGGCTGGTCTGAAACTCCTTACCTCAAGTGACTCTCTTCTGCCTCCCAAAGTGCTGGGATTATGTATGTGAGCCACTGTCCCTGGCCAAAAAAAAAATGTGTTTGAGTTATATTCTTATATTCAATTTAGCTAAAATACTTTAATTTTTTTATGGGGCCAGGCGTGGTGGTTCACACCTGTAATCCCAGCACTTTGGGAGGCTGAGGTGGGCAGATGACGAGGTCAGGAGATCAAGACCATCCTAGCTAACACAGTGAAACCCCGTCTCTACAAAAAAAAAAAAAAAAAATACAAAAATTAGCCTGGCGTGGTGGCAGGCGCCTGTAATCCCAAGCTACTCCAGAGGCTGGCGCAGGAGAATTGCTTGAACCCGGGAGGTGGAGGTTGCAGTGAGCCGAGATCGCACCACTGCACTCCAGCCTGGGTGACAGAGCGAGACTCCATATCAAAAACAAAACAAAACAAAACAAAAAGGGGGACTTTTTGCGATGATTGCTTTCTTTCCATGGCAGCTTGTCCACCCTGGAAGGAGCCCGGTGCAGCGGTAAGGAGAGCCTGAAGGGGGCGGTGTCATCCCGAGGCTCTGGCCTCCCGTTGTCCATCACCGTAGAGAGGCGGGGCGTCAAGCCGGAAGCACATGAAGCCAGAACTTGGAAGGCAGAGAGGGCAAGACAGGTGGGCAGGCAAGATAGTTACTGCCAGGTAGGGTCTGACCTGCCAGGTCCTCAGTGTGGTCCTTTTATTCCTCCCTTGTTACTCCCTGGCCTTCTGCAGGGTCTTCTGCGGAATGTCCCATGCAGGGCCCCGCTGGGCCCCATGAATACAAGTATAGCAACAATGATGGTAATTATTTTCATCCCTGGTTCCTGATGGTAATTTTGATTTACTCCTCCCCGCTTTGGGCCCTGAAAGGCGATCAGGCATTCAGTTGCTCCAGGAAAGTGGATCTAATGGAATTATCTTAGCCACTGTTGGTGGAGGGATACTAAATAGCCTTACCTTTACAGATGAGGGAATGGAGCCCAGAGAAGCTGAGGTAATTTGTCCAGGACAGGAAGTGAGACTTGATATTACAGTGCAGGGGTGTGATTAGATGTATAGTCCCCAGCCCAGACTGCATGGCATCTCCTATTCCCAGCATCCACTCACTAGCTGATCTAGGGGTCAGCTGATCACTCACCAGCTGGACCTTGGACAAGTTATTCTAATCCATTTGTGCTTATCTGTAAATGGGGCTAATAAGTGTCTTCCTTATAGAGTTGTGGAATTTAGTAATAATCCAGGGCATGGCACAATGTAAATGCTTAATCAGTGTGAGCTACCAATGTCACTATTGTTTGTCTCAAGACTTCCCAGGGCCTGATCCCACCCCAGAAGACTAGCTGTTAATGTTTAATGACTAAACACTACTATGAAGTGAGGTGATTCCCTAATTTGGCCTGAAGAGATGAATTACCTGGGAGGCACTTGGTACAAAATCTATTCTCAGGCCCCTGCCCTAGAGATTCTAATTGGTGGGGCCAGGAAATCTGTATCTTTAAAAAAGCCTCAGGTGAAATGCATCTGTAGGCTGGTTTCGAAAGTCCTTATGTAAGACTAGATAGGCCAGGCATGGTGGCTCATGCCTGTAATCTCAGCACTTTTGGAGGCCAAGGAGGGCAGATCACGAAATCAAGAGATCGAGACCACCCTGGCCAACATGGTGAAACCCTGTCTGTACTAAAAATACAAAAATTAGCTGGGTGTGGTGGTGCGCACCTGTAGTCCCAGCTACTCAGGAGGCTGAGGCAAGACAATTGCTTGAACCCGGGAGGTGGAGGTTGCAGTGAGCCAAGATTGCACCACTGCACTCCAGCCTGGTGACAAAGCAAGATTCCAACTCAAAAAAAAAAAAGACCAGATGATGCTATACCAAACACATTACCATGGGGTTGGGGGGAGACTCTTGGTGATTAGAATCAGGTGGACAAGCTCAACCCTTACAGGTTGCAAGAATTTAAAGACATGATTACCTTTTCTGATTATAAAGTCATCTAGGGCTGGGTGCCGTGCCATGGCTCACACCTGTAGTCCCAGCACTTTGGGATGTCTAGGTGGGAAGATTGCCTAAGCCCAGGAGTTCGAGACCAGCCTGGGCAACATGGTAAAACCCTGTCTCTACAAAAATATGCAAAAAATTAGCCAGGCATGGTGATGCACACCTGTAGTCCCAGCTGGGAGGCTGAGGTGGGAGAATCCTTGAGCCTAGGGGGTGGAGGTTGCAGTGAGCCAAGATCCCCTCACTGCACTCCAGGCTGGGCAGCAGAGTGAGACACTCCCCACCCCCCAAAAAATAATGGAGTCTGTTTACATGGTCTCAGGTGATTGCCTCATAAATTCTTTAGTAAGGGAAAATCAGTGACTTTGTAGAATCACTGCTAGTGGTGAAACCTGGCTGATTCCATTTTAACTAAGCGATGAAAGTTAGTGTCACAGATAATGGATCAGACCATTGGTGACTCAGTGGGTGGGACACACTGAAGATGCAGCACCACTTCTGAGGTTCCCGGCAGGAAAACATAGAAGCTGAATGTCATTAGAAGGAAGTATCAGGCAAGTCCAACTGAGGGACAGTCCACAAATCTTTCAAAATGTCAAGATCAGAAAATAAGATGCCTGGCCACTAGTTGCAATGCTGCATGATCCTGAATCAGATCCTTGAGGGTGTGGGGGTTGCCATAAGGATGTTATTGGGCCAATTCAATATGGCCCGTGGAATAAGGAATAAGTAATTGATCAATGTTAGATTTCCTGATTTTGATAATATCACAGTTACATAATAGAATGTTCTTGTTCTTAGCAGATATACAGTGAAGAGTATAGGGGTAAAGGGGCATGACATCTCTAGTCCACTCTGATATGGTTTAGAAAATAATAGTGTGGGCCAGGTGTGGTGGCTCACGCCTGTAATCCCAGCACTTTGAGAGGCCGAAGCGGGTGGATCACAAGATCAGGAGTTCAAGACCAGCCTGGCCAAGATGGTGAAACCCCATCTCTAATAAAAATACACAAATTAGCCCAGTGCAGTGGCAGGCACCTATAATCCCAGCTACTTGGGAGGCTGAGGCAGGTGAATTGCTTGAACCTCGGGGGCAGAGGTTGCAGTGAGCCAAGATCACACCACTGCACTCCAGCCTGGGTGACAGAGTGAGACTCTGTCTCAAAATAATAATAATAGTGTATGTGCAAATAACAGATATATATACACACACACATGAGCACACAGGTAGGATATAATAAAGCAAATATACACAGTGTTAACAATCATAATGCCCATTGTTTTAAAAAAAAATAACGGAAGAAAAACATAAAGAAGAAAGTGGAAGCCACTCCTCCTCCTGTCCCCCCAAACTGCCGCCGCCTGAGACAGCCAGGACGACAATTTCAATCAGTAGTGAAACTCTTACAAATCTTTGGGTCATTGTATTTTTTATTGAAACTAAAAATGGATGAATGCTTTACTTTCTGTCTATAACTTGTGTTTTTCACTCTGCAATCTGTCAGCATCTTTCCATGTTGGTTTTTTTTTTTTTTTTTTTTTT